GGTATGTCAGAAATAAAGGAAAGTTAAATACATATCAGAAGAGATTAAATTAGGTTTAAAAACGACACTGGTATGTCAGAAAATAAAGGAAATTAATCATATCAAAGAGATTAAATTAGATTTAAAAACAAAAAGTTTGGTAACATACATTTGAACAAATGTTCATAATTCAGAAATACACAAACATTTATTAGCCTTTTGTCAGAAGCACAAGATAAACAAAAGAACAGATCTTTGTTTTGTGCCTAAGACTAAGTCATTTAAATAGGTCAGATTTCTGCGTACATTAAAGAAAGAATTTTCCCGTTTATTCTAAATGATAGTTTATGGTCTAATTAATGAAGTTTCCTCTATTTTTCCTTTAGTATATTGATTTCTAAAGAAAAACTAGCAGCTGTAATTTCACTATAATTATTATTATCATGTCCTTTTAACATAAATCAGTTTCACTATTTTGTTAAAACAGCTTTAGGCTCAGTATTTCCCCTTTAAAACAATCTACATCAGCAAATGTAAAGTCACTATGATTACACATATCTTATGGTAAGATATCTCCTCTTACAATATTAACTTAAAACAATTAGAAACTTAAAAAACAACTGTTTCAGTAGAACTATGCTGCTATATTCTGTGTATGGATGAAGATGCATGAAGAAAACACTATAATACACTAGCAGATATAACCATGTCTTGCATGGCCCATATTTCCTTAGCTTCATAGGGATAGCAGAACAGCATGTATGTGTACCATTTACCACGTAGGCCTACTGGGTACGCGAGATCAGTAAAGGTATTTATGCTACGTAAGGAATTAAATTTCACTTTAATTTAACATTGGCTTCATGTACTAAAATCTGAAATGGCTGCCCAACTCGATCTGTTTTATGAGTGCTTATGCATTTAAACTCAATCTATGGGGGGTCCACTAGAATTACTCTTATCAAATTTCACCAAAACTGGCAGGGTTCCTCACAATAGCTTGTAATGTTGAGACAAACAAGTGGAGAACTCTGCTTTATATACTTATATTATTTTTTTATGACAATTACGAAAATCAGCTCTTTCAGTTTACATACCAGATAAACAAAGAAATGGAATATATTACCAACAATTAGCAAAGAAATTACAATGCATCTTGGTCAACAATGTTGTGAAGATTTGAAAAATTGTCAAATGTTAATATTAAGATTATACACAGTACTTCAGAATTTAATTGTTGTAATCATCTAATAAGTCCATGTACTATAACCAGTCCTACACATGATTAATCAAGAATCTGTTCAATATGGGCTACATAGTTCAATGATGGTCTTCACTCTTAGAAAAATTAAAAACAACAACAAAGCCTTGATTATTAACTAAACTTTAAAAAGACCCTGAACCCTACACTTTGTTCACTTACCAACAAAGAAAGGTTTTATAATGTAAGAATTAGCTTTTCTAGCATTCGAACCCCTCAACATTTGCACATAAAAGTTGAGGTGTGCTACATTTTCCTGTTACAGTGTTTTATAAGCACATCAAAACATAGTTACATCAAAAAAGTAATTAAAGTTTTGACCTGTGATTTATAATCCTTTCAACAACCTTCTGAGTAGTCAGATCACTTCCACTATGCAGACTCTTGAACTTTCCTCGACTTTTAGGCTCCTGTGAAAGAAATTCCATACACCAAATGAACTGTCTTTATTATTGGAAACTCTCAATTAAAATATTACTTCCCATTCATTAATATAGTAAATTTTACAGTTTTATGTTATACATATTTTTTAAACTAGAACATTATACAGAAACACAACTTAACGAAATGTTCTAATGTAGTGTTATAAAAACATCATCACAAACACTTTATGTTAGCTGACCTTGTCAAACATTTAGCTCAAATTTTCATTCAACCATGAATGTTTAATACAAATGGTCTGTCAGAAACTAATCTTGGGCCTTATTTGTCAAGAAACTGTACTGAACAACATAAATCAAGCCACCAGCTTACTTTTTCCAGGATAAAATAAGCAACTCCCAAGAGGACTGAAGTCTTCCATGCCAAACCAGAAAAGCTAATAGTATGTGTACTGTATATGTTAGGACATTAAATACAAGTTTATAAATCAACATCAGTGGTATTTCAAACTTGAACAACAGATTAAAAAAGGATATAGTTAAAATAGAAATCTACATGTACACTGAAATAGACTTACCGTGTAAGGATCTGAGCCGTCTACATCCGGCATGATAGGTGTCTTTCCATGACAAACTAATCCTACCTGTAAAAGTAATATATGTTAAACTATCATTTTTATTTATTCAAATTTGTGTAAGTAAAATTCCTAGATTGAAAAAGCATTCAATATTTACAACTAATAACTATTACAATTCATCTGTACAGATTCCAACTAATTCAGTTTTAACTATGAAACCATAAAACATTTTGGTACAAATAAATCAACACTATACTGTTCAAACAAATACTTCTTTAATTATAGTATTTTGGCACTTGTGTATAAAGTTAAAATTATAAATAATATTCAACGTTAAACTGGTACACAATTAAAAAACATTTTATTTAGGCCTATCTATGGCCTTCAAAAAGTTTACGACTCTACATGTTTTGACGTTACTCCTGAGGATGCCGTTGTAACGTCGAGACATGTAAAGTTGTCGACTTTTTGAAGGACATAGATAGGCCTAAATAAAATGTTTTTTAATTGTGTACGACTACATGTTTCGACGTTACTCCTGAGGATGCCGTTGTAACGTCGAGACATGTAAAGTTGTCGACTTTTTGAAGGACATAGATAGGCCTAAATAAAATGTTTTTTAATTGTGTACGACTACATGTTTCGACGTTACTCCTGAGGATGCCGTTGTAATGTCGAGACATGTAAAGTCGTCAACTTTTTGAAGGCCATAGATAAGCCTAAATAAAATGTTTTTTTTAATTGTGTACCAGTTTAACGTTGAATATTATTTATAATTTTAACTTTATACACAAGTGCCAAAATACTATAATTAAAGAAGTATTTGTTTGAACAGTATAGTGTTGATTTATTTGTACCAAAATGTTTTAT